GGGAGTGAACTAGAAGTCAAGCTATATGATTTTCCACGATTCGTTTTAATTTTGTGACTCAACTGCGGAGCGCATTGAAAAGGACCAAGCGAGTTTTTATATATATATATATCTCTGAAATGATGTCACCAGAGGCTTTCTTTCAGTATGGGGTGCCCCCAAAGACTTCGGGCGTAGATACTGTAGGCCAGATGGGTATCTTGTCAGGACACATCCGATGCGAGCAGTGCAATCAAAGCATGTCACCATGCCAACTGCGCCATAGCCTCTGACGAACGAGTCTGTGATCGGGAGACAATGGAATTGAATATACCAATCTCTATGAGATATTCCATAGAGCTGAGATGTCCAACCAGTCTTCCCAACTGTAGCAGTTTCTTGAGTGCTTGAAGACATCAGGCCACTTTTCCAAGCCAAGGTGATCCATGAAGCGACATTTGAAGCCGCCATGGAGGAAGATGTTGGGGTCTCAATGTTTCTGTACGACCAGGATGGCACAGGATGTTTCTGTACACACTTGACTCAAGGCCTATTTTGAGCCGAACTCAACGAACGAATCATGTCTGAGGCCTTGCGCAAAGGGCATAGTACGTGCGGCCCTCAGACTCGTGGCAGTTCAGAAGCCAACGTCTCTCTGGACAACAATAGTCCCACCATCGTAGGACAAATAGGCTTTCTACTTTCTACCAGCACTTGTTGCATTCAAAGATTGGTCAGGAGTGTCATGGCTGCCCGCTTTACAGCTGCTTGCGAAGCGTGTGGATCTTGGCTGTTCAACCGCAGCAGAGACATACTCCAAGACAAGCTGAAGACGACAAGACATTTGCATGTGGTCAACGCTGTTGGCCAGGGTTGTGCCGTCGGATGGGCGGTAGCACATCCCAGTGGTGTTAGGGCAGTCACCTCTTGCAAAGTGAAGAAGATGGCTTGAAGCTGCAGACAAAGTTTGGCAGCAGGAGCTTTGCCATGCTTTGCCTAGAAGAAGCCACTTGGTTCCACTTGGCATTTCTTGCACTTCAGCCTCTGCCAAACACTCCGCCAATGCTCACCATCTCTCCCGCCACTACCAACCATTGGTTACGAAACATCCTGTTTGCAAGCATGTGTTTTGGAGAAGCACAGCCAGCAAGTGTCATGTAGCTCTAGTGGATGTCACCTGGTCTTCACAACAAGCATGCGGACAGACGGCTTTTGCCAACAACCCTTGCTGACCCTGCGCGCGATGGGTCGCCACGGACTTGCGGAGCTGTGGCTAGAGCCATCGAGGCGACAAAAAAGGTAAGGTTTGGAGTGTGCAAGATCTTGTTTCGAGCTCTTCGGAACGAGCCAGATCAGCATACCAGGCACCTGGATGTGGAACCGACTTGGCTAACATTGCCAGGCCACTGAGTGTTCCACAGAAGCTGTGTGCCAGCCGGACCAACTGCATGTGCCGTTCAACGTACCTTGGTCAGTGGTCAGAAGAGCACCTCAGGCACCTCTGCTTTGTTGAAGTTGTGGAAACTGCTCGCAGGTGGGCGTTGTCGAGCTTCAGCCTTTCTCGAGAGTGGCTTGGACTACATGGAAGGAAGGATCAAACAAGGACACAAAAGGATCACGATTCACAAGGCCACCCCTTTCTTAGCCGAATTCCATCAACTTCCTTATCGTGTTGAACAGGCAGATCATGTCAACTCACCAGCCTCACATCGCAGCTTGTTGGAACATGTTGGAATCCTTATCGCCTTAACCTTTATCATGGCTTTTGTATCGAGTTTTTTTGCTTCAGATCAAACAGCACCATGGATTCCATGCGTTTCCACCTTTCTGATTTTTCTGTTTGCCTCTCTGAGGTTCCAAAGTTCAGTGGGACACTCTTCCTTTTCAGCCTCCAAAGCCCACTGATGAGAAGATTGAGGTGGAAGAAGACCAGGACCACAAGTAAGCCGTCGATGGGGCATTGGCTGATGATACTGGCTTGCAGTAGGCAGTCTCACTGAGGTTATATAATGTTATATATATATACAGTTGGTGACTAGAAGTTAGAATATGAAATCAATGAAAAACATGAATTAGGTTCTAATTCATTGAGGCAGACCTGGGTAAAATAGCACATAGAATACAATGCAGTTAGAATTGACCTACACAAGGCACTTCTTGGATCTTCTTCTTGTTGTTTTTAGTTCTTTTTTTATCGGGAATCGGGATCCTCTCTTTTTATGCCGAGAAAGGAGGAGCTTCCAGTGGTGCCCTCCGGAGAAGCTTATGTTGTGGCTGGGCCCGACGATCACAGATGCTTCCAAATGCAGTGACTTATATGTCTTTGTTCCGTGGACAGCTGAATTCGCAAGTGAACTCAACAGTGGGAGCTCATTGCCCAGGTTCCGCCACGCCCACCGATTCCTTCCTGCATTCGTCCCTCGGTGCTGATTGACTCAGTTCCTGGACAGCACGGTCCACCTTTCAAGACAACGATCTTAGATGGGCACTTGAAAGAATACCCAGACAAGGAACGACAACGATCAATATTGTATATTGTATATGTCAATTCTTGATTTTGTATTTTTGATGTGTGGCAGAACCAAAAGCTTAACAATTACCCAATGACTCAATGGGCATTGTTTTGTGTCCCACTTTCATGTCCATTCCGTAGCTGGACCATTTTCGTCAAAGGGACGTTGGGCGTTTCCGAAGTGTCTCGGAGTGGCGTTGTGACCGGACTGCACCAGACTGCTGAGGAGGCCTAAAGGGCGAGGCCGATGGAGCTCGTCCACTGTGGGCGCCTCATGAGGGGTACAAGGCTCCGAATTGGCGAGGAAGGGACTCCCAGGGCCCATGTTGCAAGGACCCCGAAGTAGAAGGAGCTTTGTGGATCCAGGTAAAGGTTTTGAGGGCTGTTTGGGAGAGCAGTAAAAGGAACTTCATTTGGATCTAGGCATCTCTTGAGGCTGTTTGTCGGGTTTTGGGGGGAGTGCGTCAAAGCTCGACGTGCGTCATTGTGCCAAGTATTGCCCAAGCGTTGTGGTCTCTTCAAAAAGATGTGCTTGGGATCCTCCGCCAAATGTTCACGACATATTTTCACAATTTCACAATTAATTGAAAGCCACTCAATGTCATATGCAAATGTTCCCTTGCATTTTCGTTTTGCGCTGTTCTTCCCCCGTTTGGTTGGTCTGCTCAGGGCCGTAGGGTTGCTTGAAAGGACGGATTGTACCGGATTGTACGGACCCATTAAGTGAGGTGACTCGCCTTAAGCAGCCAACTTGCAGGAAGAGGAGGGGCGGCTGGTTCCAACAGCCCCGGAGGATGTCACGTGCTCAAGAGAGATGTGTTGCAAAGCCGAAATGCAGCTACTTGAGTCTCGAGGTTCGAGGCTATGTTCGTGAAATCAGGCGGGCTGTTGGCAGACCCGATCTTGCACCATGAAAGCTGTTTAGGGCTTCGACTTCGCACCGTTTTGCTCGAAGGGGTTGTCTCTCCAGGAAAGACCCCGACGAAACGACCGAGCTGTGGCCACCACCACCTCGCCGACGACTTAGAGCCGACCAACCCTGACCGGAGCCGGAGCCAGTGCCGACGACGACTTAGGCCGCGTGGGCGATCTCGATTTTCCAGCAGGACCCATTCCAAGTGTCAAGGCAAGGAGTTGAGAGGAAGGGACCTGTCTCAGAAAACGATGAGAAACCACTATTCGCAAGGCAAAATAGTATCATAACAGTTCATAAAGGGCTTTCTCTTGAAGCCATACCATCGTATGATCAGCAAGTATGAAGCAACGGAATTTCACGGCATGTCGAATGCCAGAAGTGCAAAGTGGTTGCAGGTCCTGGCAAAGCACCACTATGCTGAAAGCGCCAAGGCACTGGTCACCATCCACCAGTGTCGTCCAAATTCTGATTTCTTGGCGTGTTCTTTTCAACACTATGATGGAGCACAGCTGACACATGGGATTGAACTTATTTTCTTGCTCAAGTGGATGGATGAAGAGGCTATTCTACAGCAGAGAGTCCTTTTTCTAGCCCTTTAGAGAGAAGTGCTTGCTATTCAAGGCCAGAGGCGCCTCTGAGTGTGTTCATTTCGCCAGGCCAACGCTGCCTGGCGAGAGCAGCAGGAGCTGCATCAAGCGGGAAAGCCGCATGTGAAGTGGAGGGATCTGACTCCCAAAGTGTCTTGGCAGTGTGACGATTTTGATCTTGTCAGTTTGGGATTGCGAGACTGTTGGATGTGAAGAAAACATAAGAAAACAATTCCTTGGAACAGTGGAGCCTTACTGAATCATATTGATATATGATTTCATGATATATAGGGAATATAAGATAGAAGTTACGGTCAGTTATACCAAGTCTCTAAGTTATGAAGTGTATCAGGATGGTTTAAAGACATCCCTTTCAAGCTTGGGACTTTGTTGGCCTCCTTTGCACCCTTGCCCCCGTTTCAGCTCAGGCTGTTCAAGGACCTGAGGCGGAGGCCGCAACTGCGTTGAAGAGAAGCGAACGCGAAGCGAACGTCGAACGGCCGAGGAGTCACCTTTTTAACAGTTGCAGGGTCTTCTATGGCATGGAGCACTGCATTGGTGCAACATCTTGAAAGGACAATTTGGGAGTAACATATTGTTCCAGTCATTCAGCCTTAGAGGGATAGCCCAAGGCAGCCAAGGCAAGTACAGTAAGTTTCCGAGAAGAGTCTTCGATTTGGCAAAGCATGGCCTAAGGCTGGTGAGAGTTCGCAGCCAGAAGAAGAAGGTTTGCTATACACAAGTCCGAATGATGACAATGTGAAGCCGCCCGATGAAATCACTGGATTGGAGGCCTAGCATGTTTGCATATGTTTGCAATATTTTGGCAGGAGAACTGCTCAAGTTTGAGGTTTCTCGATGTCATAATCCAGATTCTGCTTGCAATCCACCAGCTAGAGGTAGCAAAAGCTGCCACCGCCTGTAGCTTCGAGGTAGCAAACGCTGCCAATGATCAGATGCACTTCTTGAAAAGGATTTCATTCTTTCGTTGCTGATACAGTATACATATATATATATGTATATATATATATGCTGTTGGAGAAGCAATTGAGAGCAATAGATGCAGTTATGATGAGTTATGAGGCAGAAAAGAAGGCACATCATGGCACATCCTTGAAGGCCTCATCAGACATTCTCAGACCCAGGAAGCGATTGATTCTTTCTCATTTCTCCGCGCGATATGCCAAGACATCCGATGCCGTGCTCTTAGAAGCGTGTTTGACCTTTAGCAGGTAGAAATGGTTTGACCTTCAGTTTTTCATCCTCAACATTCCTCACCCCCGCCAGGTTCGCCCCGGCTGTCAGCGAGGGCCAGGTTGACAGGTGGCCCCCAATTACACAAGGGTGTGGTTTCTTGAAGAGTGTATTCGACATTTCAAGAGATTTGAGTGTTTGGATCCATTTGTCGACCTCTATGGTTTGCTCCGGCATCCAGCTGCATCTACAGAAGCTCCCCATGGGCTATATTTGTTGCTAATCTTTCTGGACAGTTTTTCAGAGCCACATTTCATTCAATTTCACTCACCCAGCAAAGTATAAAGAGCTTTCACTTGGTTTCTTGCACCTGATTTGAGACGTACCCAAGTTCCGCACAATATAGTACTTAGTACAAAGTAGTGTACTGTAGTTGTTTGACACAATTGAATCTTGTGGATTTCCACATTGCCCAGCAGGCACGCCCATGAACTTGCCTCTGAAAGAGGAAAAAACACGTTTTATTATGTTCTATTTGCTTGCCTTCTGGAGAATCGACCAAATCGATGCCAGTATCGATGCTGCCATTCCCAAGCCTCCCAAGCCCAAGGGTGAGAGCGACGAGGATCCTGCCGAGAAGCTGGGACTGGAGGCTGACCGATGTCGACGTTGACCCGTCTGGGCGAGGTCGGATCTCCGTTTCCGCAAGGGGTCCCCTTGGTCGTGACCGGACAACGCAAAGCCGGACAGCCGCATGTTTGCCAGCCTTGGATTCACCAAAGCAGCCGTGAGAGGGAGCGGGAGGAGCATGCAGTTTCAAACATCGGGCACACTGACCAGGTTTCATATCCAGGCTTCATATCCTCACGCCGCCATAGAGAGCTTCATTGGACAAACAGAGCTCTTCGGGCTTGTGGATTTGTTGCGGAACACCTGATTCTCTATTTGAAATCCGTTGAAGGACAAGTTTCATTAAGTCGATGAGGTGCTTCCCTCGTAACATCCTTTGAGATGTTGCCCCATCCGTCGAGTTGGTGCGTCCGTCGTGTCGACTTCGACAACGTGCTTTCCGTCGTCGTTGTCGTCCAGGCACGGGAGATCCTGGGAGAGATCCCTGTGACGGTAGCGCAGGAGAGGTGGAGACATAATAGGGGTGTGGGGGAAAACTGGTAGTCCCTTTCGTTCTATTGCAGGGTGAGCCAGGGTCCTGGCGCTTTGACCACCACATTGTCGCATTCTGTCCATGCAATTGTTGCAGGAGTTGAACTTGAACCATTTACTGATGCTTTACGCATCAAGTCTTGCCTGCTCACAAGTCTATGTTTGAGTGCCCAAGAATGCGGAACGATGCTTCAAACATTTGTTGGGACTGTTGGCATGCGCTGGCGAACATCATAATATCGACTTGTTCAAGGCGGTCAATTCTGTAAAAGAAACCGTGATGTCTAGTCCGAACGCGCCAAAAGAACAGAGTGCTGCAAAATGCTCCCACTTCTTTTGCCCCATCCAATCCAATCGGCGAGATGTTGTTGCCAACATTGATCCTCTTGATTCTTGCAAATCAGACAGGACAAATAGTGGCACAGTACATGGTTCCTTAGATCATTGTGCAGCAACTTATTTCGACTTGCAACCGGATGATGCTTGATATTGGAAGGGCGTGTTGTGTCTTTTGCCTTTGAGCCTCTCCACAGGACTTTATGGCCGGGGATCCTGACCTTGATGTAATGTGTTGGATGCATAGCAAGAGCGCCCGGACTTGGATTTTCTTCCGCAGGCCGCAGATCTATGTATGCAGAAGCTTGAAGTAAACACCAGGGTCAAGAGCTAGATAGAGCTTGTCAAGCCCAAGACTCATGAACTGCAGACAGAAGTCTCACCTTTCAAGCAACACGGAAGTATTGAGGTGCTGCGAGCTGATCGGGACTTCGAACCCGAGCCGAATCCTTGATGGAAACGATCGACAGATCTCAAGCTCCTGCAAACGCACGTGTTGTGCAGTTGCTTTGGATTGGCCGCGAAAGAGCATAATAAGAACCGATGTTTTAGCTGAGAATCTATAGTATTTTTGATATTTTTGATTGACAAATTGACAAGTGACAAGGATTGATTGATACAACAGGTTTTTAAGTTGTCCAAGACAAGCCAGACATTTTAGATCTGCTTTGGCAGTCATGCCACCATGTCCCTCTCTTGAATCACACCTGCCAGCATCCCACCTGCCGCCTGTGGATTTGTCAGGTCAGAGCTTGCTGTGAAGAAGAACCCTTGGCATCGATGCCACTTGGAAATTGCAGGGATCTCAGAGATATTTAAGGGCTTACGCCCGACAGCCGGCCAGGGGCCCAAGCAAAGGGCTTGTTGCAGTCGTGGTAGTGTTCTTGTCGTTGTTGTTGTTGTTGTTGTGGTTGTGGTTGTGGTTGTTGTTGTTGTTGTTGTGGTTGTCGTTGTCGTTGTGGTTGTTGTTGTTGTTGTTGTTGTTGTTGTTAGCCCAGCAGCTGCCCACGATGCAGACGAAGCACCCCGGTGCGGCATGCATTTCCAGCAGTATTTGGGCCTATGTTACGCCATGTTGACCCAGCTGGAGCCACAAACCCGGAAAAGTGGAAGAAGCCGAAAACACTGTAAAGCACACAATTCCTGTGGGGTCGGCGGCTGGGGCGGGACTCCCCTCTCTCCTTCGGAGAGGAGAGACTGCATACGGCAAGGACACGGCCAGGTCGGGGCCCCTTGGGCCCCTGGCCGGATTTAAGGGCTTACGCCCGACAGCCGGCCAGGGGCCCAAGCAAAGGGCTTGTTGTTGTTGTTGTTGTTGTTGTTGTTGTTGTTGTTGTTGTTGTTGTT